GCACGAAAACGCAAGTACATGGAACAAGATGTTCATAGTGATTATTCAATCGATGAGGAATATCCACCGCCCTCATTAACTAATTGGGAAGATGAAGTAGAAGAAGTCGAAACGGTTGAGCGAAGTATAAAAGACAATGGCGCACTATTGATATACCTCAACTGGTATTGATTTAATAGCTTATGTACGTTTACATTTGTCACGTAGTGACTTGATAATCTTTTCATACTTAGGAAAAATGGTCATAGAACGGTACATCCTGCGGCGGAAGCGAATTTGAAATGTCCACAAAAGGTACGTTTTATGAAAAATCTTCGATTTACCAAGAATTTTCTAACAAATTCTACTTTAGATTATCCATTTTTACGAAACTCATTTAAGATTTAGAAGCACATAAAAGTTACGTCAATGGATTGAAGTTCTTATTTAGGCTGTAAATCTTTTGAATATATTTTAGATAAGAAATGATAACCGCAACGAATTAAATAAAATGTGAAAGACGTAATTCATAGAATTGTAATTGTAATATCCCATTAATGAGATTTGTAAATCTAAACGTGATTTTGAAAGCAATTAACAATTCTTGCCGAATCATAAATTATTGACATTATGAAAAAGTAACAAATTTTTACGGGTAAAATTCCTTTCATTCAATACGAGAAGTAGAAGTTGTGTTCGAAAGTGGTTGTACGTATGTATCTTGTGACGTTGTTTTCCATGAATATCCAACTGTGACTTCCGTTCCCAAATCTAATCTGTCTCCAAATAGTACTTACTGGGTTTCGCATTGTTAACATTTAATAATATTACGACTAACAATCCCAAATTGAAAAATTATATTACGACAGGGTGAAACCTGAGTTGCGAAATAGTGAAATCCGCTATGATCATCACACAAGGGTGAAATCCGCTTTTATATAATAAAAAACATAATAAAACGCGGATTTCACCCTAACCCGTTCTACAAAGCGGATTTCACTATTTCGCAACTCAGGTTTCACCCTGTTCTATTATATTCATAACACCGATGTTATATAACACCTATGGTAAAATACGTATTGGTCTGAGTTAGGGTTAGAATAATAGGGTGTTATATAATATCGATATGGTGTTATAAATATAACTTTCCTCCCAAAATTTATATGTAAAAATTGGGTTCGGGACTAAACGCATAAGAACAATCTAAATCTAACCAAGTCTCAAAGTCTAATGCAAAAGAAGCTTTCTTGGTTATGGGCATATTAATTTGGTCTGGAATTAGGCTTGCTTGCAGTAGTTATGATTTTAGATAATTTGGTCCTTATTAGTGACTTAAAAGTCGATTAGACCAAAACCACGTAACCGGTTAGCCAGTTAGCTACTAAAAAGCTGATGCGTCTCGCCTGTAAGGGCTTCGATATATTTTGGTGTATTTATCAGAATGAGCTCTTGTATATAAGTGGAAATTTGGATTGAATGCCTATAGCATTCTCTCATTCGATAAGATTGGAAATTTATTCAAGTCACAAGTAATTCATTATCAATTAATGATTATAGACTTACGTACATACGTACGTAGTCAAAGAGCTACGTATTAGCGTTAGTATTTTCATTCAAATTTCGATGCTTATATTATTTACGATTCGAAGTTTGTTTTGGATAGATTAGCAGAGCAACCAAAATTCAGCAGAACAGCCCGAATTATGGGTCGGATTTCATCGGATTTAGGCCGGCATTAAGAAATAATACCGATACCAACTAAAAACCGAAAATTCACCACCTAAATTTATTTCAGATAAAACACGATGCACATTAAAATTATATGAAAAAGATTTGGGTGGCGTATTACAGCAAAACTATCGCTGGGAGGTGAGTGAGCTGTGGTTTCATTAGTAAAATTTTAAGTGATCTTGGGCAAAATTAATCAATCCCACCCATAATTCGGGCCGATCTTGGTTGCGCCGTTAATCTATCCTTTGTTTTGAAGCTAAAAAACCAATTATATAGGACAGACTGAAACCTGAGTTGATTTTTATTTGCGTTTTTTAGGTTACCTTTTTGATGCAGATCTGCCTGCAATTAATTACGGGTCTCACCTTGTCGTATTATTATTTTCACTGAATGTGCATATATTCGATATGACCATTGGACCTACCGTAATATAAATATATCCCACTTAGTCCCTTTAAATTATTAATTTGAAACAAAAATAACGAATTTTTAATAATTTATGCATTGATTTAAATTTAATTGGTTTTGAATTTTAAACTGTTGACTGAGAATGGGCATGTAGAAATCCCGATTTATGATTCAAAAGAAAGTTTGGGTTGCAACCTTAGTTGGAAATGAATCACCGAGTAGACGGCGACGAAGTCTGTAAACGATTTCATCTAGCGTTAATTCAATTTGGCAGTGATTCCTAATGATGGAAATTTCTTGGAAAAGTCAAGGATAGACAGCAAAATTTTGAAATATTGTTTGTGTCATATGATAATGAATTCTGGTCCATTACATTAACTTTAATAATGGAAGGATACTGGGCCATGTTGCCCTTTCACCCCTTAAAGTAGCTTCTTGAACCGATTCAGGAGTAGGATTAGATAGAATTTTGAAAAAATCAGTATATGAAATGTTTGGGACAATCGTGATGTCACCATAATATCGTTGCGACATGATAGCCTTTGTTCGATACAATAAGCTCGGCATAACACCAAATTCACTCAGCTTAATTGTAATAATGTTAATCTATTAGTTTAACGATAATTCAATTATTGAAAATACAAACAACAATCAAAATATTTCACCTGAGTTAATCTGTGTTCTAATTCAGAAATCGCCAAAAATAAAAACCACCCAACTAACCGGCTAACTGGCGAAGGAATCAACTTTTTTTGTAAAAATGGTACAACATGGGGATTCACTTGCAAAACAAGAGTAATTTAGAAATGGAAGTATAGATGCTTATATCATCAGACTACTGGTAAATACCTTGACACACAATAAAATGATTCACGTTAAACAGCTCAGAAAGTCTATTCATTGGTAAGTCACTATTCAACAGATTGAGTTATCATTAGAATGATAAAATAAATAAATAAATAAACAGTATATTTACGCACTTCTCAACGGATCCATCAATCCATCGATGACCTTAATACGTGTACCAAAGTTATTAGCACTACATAAAAATTTGGGGAATTTCGGGACCATGAAAAGATGACGATAATCACCTGAAGGGTTCCATGGGACTACTTTACCCGTTTTATCCTTTGCCATCAATGGAACAGAATTATATATGCAGGGAATAGAACAGGATGCCGCACTGCAAATAATCATAATCGGTGAGGAACTTCTAATACTATACTAATAAATTCCCTATTTGGTCTTGCATAAAAGGCACTTACACGGCAGACCAAATCAACTTTCATTACCAATGTAATACACACGTAGATAGTGTAAGTGCACGTAAGATGTATGGTGCATATTACAATTAGAAGTATATCTTTTATGCTTACCACATCAGGAGCCGTTAGGTAGTTAAGAAGACGTGGCATTTCATACACCGTGGAAGTGCTTACAGTAATATTTAATATTCTTCGAGTTCGGTTATATGCTTCCTACGTATGGTAAGTTATTCCATTATTCCAGAGTATTGTATAAAAAGAAGAAAAAAAAAGAAAAAAATAATAAAATAAAATAATATAAAATAAAAATAAAATAAATAAAAAACCTGAAAAGTCATATCCGGAATATTGCGGCGCATGCATTCTTTCAAAATATCAGCGTCGAAGAATACACCTGAACAAACGTGAATATATTATAGCGCATGAACTTGATAAAATTGATCTAGTAGCTTCTTGGTTACCTTGCTTAAGAAACCTATTAATTCTCATCAACCATGTTTCCGGCTCTGACGATCTTTCAAATACCTCCTATATAATTGCAAACTTTAGCTGTAAGCCGACATGTTCAAATGGAATTAAATCAAGCAGAATTCGTACCAAATGAAATTCAGAAGAACTAAGTGTTCTAAGAGTTTCGGGAATTTCATCATCCGTCTTCGTGCATAAGAGAGCAGCAAAAATTGATCCACTTGAAGCACCAGAAATGATACGAGGTAAGAGCTTACATTCATATAGACACTTGATCACTCCAATATGTGCAAGCCCTATTTCACAGCGATTATACATTATAAACCAATGTTATAATTATGAATTGATAATTTCCACATACCAAATGTAGCGCCTCCACTCAATAAAAGGGCGGTCCTTCCAAAAGATTGCCTCGTGTTAATAAAGAATTCAAGTTTGTCTTTAGTTGATATATCATCAGATTCTGTGTCACATATGATATTCATTTGTTTTACTACTTCGGCTATATAACACTCTATCAATTTTTTCGTGCCAATATGTGTATATGCATATAACTATATAAAAGTTTGATAAATGTACTGTTCAGCAAATGAATCAAACCAAAAAAAAATCACAGGAAACTACAATTCACCTTTGGTTGACCCATATCACCTAAATTTCTTGCCAATGAAGTTTTTAATAAAAATGTCATATGTGATAAATCGCCGGATTTACGTGCTTTTTTTAATTGTTGGAGACGTTGTTGCAATAGATCATAATCATAGTCAGGTGATTTTGCATCGTTCTTCCACAGATCTTTCCCTTGAAAAAATTTATGCAGCAAGCAAAGTCTATAAATACGATAATTTCAAACGAAAGACCGCAATTTTATTTACATTAAATATCATTTTTAATTTACCTTCAAGCTGATCTAACATTTTTGCTGCTTCAGACCATTGTTCATAATTGCTTGCGACATCTAGTAAATGCTTATAATAAGCTCTTGGGTCTCGAGGCAACAGGACTGCATCGTAAAGTTTCTAGTATTGCAAGGTGTTGTTAAACATCTGAATAATACGTACGAATGTAAAAGTTTGTTATATGTACCTTTGCCCAATAAGATGATACATCAAAGGCTACTGACTTAATTCCAGAAAATAGCGAAGACGGCGAAGAACGATTATTTACAGATGTTTCAGTGTTTTGATCATGATTTGAAACATTGTAATCAGCAGAATCCTCTAGATTAGAGGTATAATTATTATTTTGTGGTGCCATTGTCGATTATTTCGTCTTCACATGAAATTTTTTTTATAGATCCATCCACGTGCCCAGTTTTTTTTTTTTGATGCGATGCGATTATCTATATCAGTCATGAATTAGGCCATGCATTTTTAATTAATTTTGGGACCTCTAGTAATAATGGGATATTTGTAATAATAATATCCTGATCCGTTGGGAATTAGCGGAAACGGAGTTTCCGCTTATTCACATACGGTCAGGGT